TAATAATCTGGTCGCGTACAGGCAGTCGCCTCGTTTCTTCTCTATGTTGAGATAAACACCTGAGTCTCGTTTTTATTGTTGCAGCGACGGAAGCACCTCCTTCTGGAGACTGCGACCCCGAGTCCCCGGGCACCCAGTTCCGCTGCGCCAACGGCTTGTGCATCCAGCAACAGCAACTATGCGACAACAGTAATGATTGTGGGGACTTCTCGGATGAGAGAAATTGCGGTAAGTTCTGACTGGGACCAGGCTCCTGTGCCTGGTACACAGTATTCCACTCCTTAAGAGTTGTTAGCTTAAAACCACCCGACTCCTTCATGCGTGCAAAGTTAGAGGAATCGTGTGTACAATAGCGCGACATAAAGCGAAACACTCATTATGCAACCAAAAATAAGAAATTTGAGGAAAACTTCTTTTTGCCCAAAAAAGTGGCTTCCTGATTTTTATGCGTGCTTTGCCTTGCTGTGAGTTTAAAACCATTTTATACTACGGTCTGTCTGAGAGTGCTCTCTGGCCTCTCTCAGCTGAGATTGGAACTTACGACCTGGAGCTTAAGCACAAAATTTGTTTAAGCAGGAAAAATCTTTGCTTAATAAACAAAGATCGCCAGCTCAAACTCTATACAACACATGGAGTTTTTGCCGGTTACCTGTTTTATCAAGTAAGGTTTTCTCGTGCTTAAGCAAATTTTGTGCTTAAGCTGCTCTATGAAATTGGCCCCTGGGCCCAATTACAAGGTGCTGCTTACTGCAGAATCCCGCGCCTACGATCTCCATTCTGCGTTAACCGCACTAGCAGAAAAATTCTGCGCTAACCTTTTAAGCACAGAGTCCTTAGTTACATTATGCAGGCATGTGCACAAGCCAAAATTCTTTGCTAACCCGTGAAATATGTTCGCCATAACCACAGAATTTTGTGCTGTAGTAAGCGCCAGTTTTTCGCTTGCAGTAAGTACCGCCATGAAAAAAATTGGGCCCTGCTTGCCAATACTCCTTCCCCACATGGGACTCAACTCAAGCTGCAAGTGCCGTAATCAACATTCTTTCTGTGGTCAAGGGGAGCCGTAGTCGTCCAAATCTCTTACAAAAGTACATTTTACCCTATCAAAATATATCATTCCTCACTTACGTGTAGAGGGTTTTGAAATTTTAGCTTTGGACTTTGGAGGAGTTCCAATTCTTCAGGGTGTGGCTTTCTATAACCTGTCATGCTTTGTGCACATGTAGGCCAGCATTTTTTTATTTATTGGATCATTAACATGGCATGGAATTTGGCAGGGCAGAATTAAACAATTTCTTCTACAGTAAATGTTAAGTGTACTTTTTAACGGGGGACCAGTGATGGTAAGTGACATGTAGGTGGCATTCCTTACATAATATACTTTTCTGTTTACTCAAAAATGCTGAATCAGGGAGAAAAATGTTTGCATTTTTTTTTCAAAATTTAAAGAAGGGATCCCTGTTAGGAACAAGGGCTAGAATCGGGGTTTTCCCTTAACTTTTTTTTTCACTGGCCATCCGGACCAGTAATGTAGACTTTTCACTAGTCCGCCAGCATTTTCACTGGTGCGTATCCTTCCCCCTTAATTTTTAAGGTAATTTTTCGTCTGTTTTTGTCTGCACAGAACTGTTTATCATGCTACACGTTTTTATTTGGATTAAATGGGTACATAGAACAGCCGATCCAGACTTCGTTTGGGCTTTATTTTTTACTGTAGACTAGCTAACGACACCGTCCGATTTCATGCGGTCGGTATTGTTTTTGCTTCACTAGACAGTCGGACTACCCAGATGACGGGTTTGACTGGTCCGCCGCGGTTTTTACTAGAATTTGTCTAGCGGACCAGCACTAAGGTCGAACCCTGCTAGAATTTTCTTATGTGAATTCATAATCCAACAAATTAAGGCAAGTTGGCCTTTCAGTTTCCATGCTTAAAAAAGGTTTGTTTTTTAACCTTTTCTTCTCCCCTCGTTTGTTTGTAACCATCAGGTGTAAATGAGTGTGAAACCTCGTATCCGTGCCATCATGTTTGCACTGACGAACCCACAGGTTTCAAGTGTTCCTGTTACGAAGGGTACCGTCTTCTCAATGACAGTTCCACTTGCCAAGGTACCAGACTAGTTGTAGCGAACTGGCTCCTGTCAAGGAAGCCATGTTCAAATCAGACTTGCTGTGGCCTTTTAACCATAACAGTCCCGAATGCTACAAAGTACTACTTAGTAGTAAAATGTAGTACTCAGCCCTGTCGCTTGTAAGAGGACATGACATTATTATTCTCTGAAGCCATAAAATACAATCGAGAAGACAATGTACCATACAGTGCTGTGGCACTATGAATGCCTGGTTTCATTGTTCTCTGTACGAGTAACAATGGAATAAACCTAGCCAGAAGTAGGAATTTGTAGCGCTAGGTCCTTCAGGCTCAGAGTGTTGCGAGGTATTTTGTAGTACTGAGTACTCTAAGCCAAGCAACGCCCGGTACTGTTAGGGTTAATGGGCATTGGTGAAGAGCTGTAGTCGCAAACTGCAGTGCTTAGTGCAAGCACGGACTTAACCCTCCTTTGGTTTTACT